CATCTTGTAGCTCAGTCTCCTTTATTCTATTACATGATAACCAATTAACTGGGAGTGCAAAAGCTATAAAGCACAATATAAGAGTTTGCTTAATTTCAGCTAATTTATTAACACCCTTGGCTACTGATTTAGATAATATAATGGTTTTTGTCTGAGTCAGCCAACTTGATACTATAAAATCCTAATGCATGCTAGTGCTTGGGTTTTAAATATAATGCTATATGACAAAATACTTATTAATACTTATACTGACATTAACTAGCTTGTTAGAGAACTTAGCTAGCCAAATCACTGGCTACTCATGGGAAGGTAACCTAAACTAATTACTTAACTGACAACATTAGCTCAGTGCTATTGCCATGTTTGAATTTGATCCCTAATGGCATCATTATAAAATCACTGACTATTTGGGGCACAGCCATATTTTAGTGTTGTCCAAAGTCTCCAAATTTTATTCCCTGTATAGTTAATTATATCATTCCCAATAGTGCACCCTAAATCCAAAGTCCAATCAATGCAGTGATTACTTTAAGCTTGTCAGAATGGACACCAGAGTGGCCACATTCATATAAATGTAAATAAAAAATTGCTGCCCCCCTATACAGTGTCCTAACAGGGTTAGTAAATAGTGAGCAAGGGAGCAATTTCACACAGTGTGCTTAGCTAAATAAGGATGTGCTCATTTTGTTAAAAATATTCAGGTTTTTTGTGTTTAAGGGTGAAATTGCTGTGTGGCCAATCTTATCTTCACCCAAGTGCAAATAGAATCAAAAAAGAGAAAATGTTTAAGCAGATTTACAGTATATGTCATTAAATTTCATCCTCTTTGACAAACTCTCTCATGTATCTGTCACTCTATCTTTGTCTGAAACAAATCCAGGGAAGTCTGCTAAAAATTTTATCCATACATATGGTGGGATGATATTATTGTATCCTACTGATAAAAAAGGAAGCTTAATATCAGTGTGTGTCTGATGAGGATGTAGCTGTTGCTCATGAATGCAGGCATCAGGGTTTTTTTTTTTTTTATAAAGTATTTTATACTTTATTTTAATACTTTACTTTATAAAGTATTTTTATTTTAAAGTAATCGAAACCAGGATCAATGTGCTATGTAACATGTCCCTAAAAAAATTCCAAGCATGAAAAATGTTCCCATTTGGAAAATTGTGTTAATTTCTAAGCACATTTTCTTTTACAGTGTATCTTCTGACCTGTTCTGATTAGCTCATATTTGACAATTTATTCAGAGCACAGTGTGCTTGATATGTATGGGCACTGGTGTGTGTTTGCATGTGTGAGTAGATGCATGTGCCTCTGTCTATGCATGTATTCGTGTGTGTATATACATGTGACGGTATGCGCCTGTGTTCATGTGTGTGTGTGTGTAAGTGACCAGGTTAGGTTGAGGTGTGATCTGTTATTTGGACAGGTTTGCCGCAGAGATTTCTCCTGAGGCTTAGTCATTTCTCTCTGTCTCACATTTAAATCCTTATAGCACTGAAGCCTTTAAATCACTGGATATACATCACATAAGGAAAGCACCACTTCCTCTCTGGAGCACTCACTAATCTTAACACAACACATTTTAGCATTCGATTGAAATATTGCACTCATTAAAATCTAAATTCTTGGTTTAATACCACAGTATAGATGACCACATGAATTATTCTATGTGGAAATTTTTGATGATTTATATTAAATGTTTTTTTTTTGTCTGTGTATGTTTTAACATATAAGTTCCTTCTTTTACAAGATTACATTGTTGCTTTTATCAATTTCCATTAACCTAAACACAAATGAAATGCTCGCTCTCTCTCTCTCTCTCTCACACACACACACACACATGCACACCCAGAAACCATATGAGAACACCACTAAACATTTCCGTCTGTTCCTTGTTTCCACCTTATCTAATCAGGATCCATCATGTTTGAGTGACATTCAGTGAGCTACTGCTTCTCAGGGAGTTTAGAGAGCTGAATAAAACAGTAGGACAGCTCTTCATATAGGAATTTTCATATTCAAGCGCCCTGTGGTGCAGGGCCAACACCTCTTGTGCCTTCCTCTTGTACTCACTTCTATGAGTCTTTCAACTCTAATACACCAAGTATAAATATATTATAATCTCATCGCCTGTCCATTTATACAGGTGTCAACCACGGACATGATTTCCAGCAAGCGCAGGTTCTCCTTATGCAGCCGCTCGAAGTCGCAACATTATTATCAGGGCAAAATGTATTCACAATAGCAGAAGCCTGAGCGCCTTCTGGGCTTTGTAATATAATACCGACTGCTTTATCAAATTTAACAGTTTATTGGAAACAGCTTGTACACATGATTTAAGAATGACGAAGGGAGGCAGGACCCGAGGACCTCTCTTTCTCTCTCTTTCTCTCTCTCTATCTATATTATGCGGCTTCCTACTTCTTCCCCTCTTAGCCTTTCTTGTTCTCCTTCACTTTCTTTCTCTTTTTCTACTGTTCTCTCTTTAGGCAGCTTGATTTTAAACTGGACAGAAGTGTAGATCAACAGATGCATGACCTGGTTTAAAGTTATGCAGTGGTTCTTCAAACAGGTAGACATACTCCCCGTATCCGTGTGGCTTTCTGCCGGGTTCATCGTTTTCCTTCCACCTCCCAAAAACTTACCAGTAGGTAGATTGGCTACTGAAAATTGCCCCTAGATGTAAGAGTGTGTGAATGTGTGTGCATTGTGCCCTGTGAGGATCTGGTGTCCCATCCAGGGTATATTCGGGCCCGGTGTTCCTGGGATAGGCTCTGGATGGACTCCGCAGACTCAGCAGACTCGTTCCATGCAGACATTTGATTTGGACATGACTGGGTGGCAGCTGTAGTGGATAGTGTTGCCTCACCACAGCTTCAGGGTCCACGATTTGATCTGAGCTCAGGTTACTGTCTGAGTGGAATTTCACATATTTTCCCTGTGTATGTGTGGGTCTCCTCCAGGTTCTCCAGTTTCCTCCCACTTCCCCAGAACAAGCCAGTGGATTCAGATCACTAAGTTGCCCCTAGGTGTGAATGAATTTGTGAATGTGTGTGTGTGTAAGGTGTCCTGCGATGGACTGGTGTCCCATCCAGGGTGTATTCCTGCCTCATGTCCAGTGTTCCCAGGATAGGCTTAGAATCCATCCAAATACATTATTGATAACATTCTCTGTTAGGAAAAATGATCAAATATCATAAACCATTTCGAAAATATATCAGGAACTGCAGAAATAATATCAAAGATACTCCAGTACTAAGCATGAGTATGAGCATGGACAACATATATACTGCAGATTGGAGAGATTTAAATCATTGGTGATTTAACGCATTGATCCCTTGTTATGTTAAGCAGAATGAGCTTGCAGAAAACATAAAAATTTCTCTCAGCAACGATGCTGATGTAACAAACAGCATATAAAAGCATTTCCATGTGTCTTATGCTTCCTGTTCATCCAGCTATGCTTTGCGCTGAGGAGACATCACACTAGGAGCGATGTTCCTGAACCAATAGGCGATGTAGGGAGCAGCCTTAGGTGTTGGCTCCTGAAGAGCAGTGTGACAGACTTTCTTTCCCCCACTGAGAGAATCAAGACAGCAAAAGAAGCCTGCTCTTTGCATTCTACCTTTGTGGCTTTGGTACTTTAGGATTAAGGAAGTCTGTAAGTTTCTGGAGTCAGGTCTGTTATTGTTACCCTATTGCAGTGTTTCCACACTTCAAATGCAAAATATACAAATCCGACAAAAGCACACCACGTCAACCCAGCCTGGAGTTACATGCTTGTTACACACAAGCCAACGTGGTCCTGCAATTTTTTTTTGGCTGCTCCCGTTAGGGGTCACCATGGCGGATTGATCCGCATATTTGATTTAGCACAGTTTTTAAGCCAGATGCCCTTCCTGATACAACCTTCCCCAATTTTATCCAGGCTTGGGACCGGCACCGGGAGTGCTCTGTCTTGTGCAACCCCCACTGGCTGGGGTCGGTTCCCTGGCCAGGAACCGAACCTGGGCTGCGGCGGGGAGAGCGCTGAGGCCTCACCACTAGTCCTCTTGGGATGATCCTGCAATCAGAAGCTCATAAGAATCTGTGTTCATAAGAATCTGATGCAAAGATTAGAGTTTAGATTAGAGATTAGAGGTGGGGTTAGTGTATGTACTTTTTCTTACAACATAATTTGAATAAAATCAAACAAATTCCAACACCACCACCTTCATTTGTTTAAACTTGCACAAGTTTCTCATGAGATAAGGTTGCACAAGGAGGTTTCGATGACTCACACTTTGTGCAGCATTGTCATCAGGGTTTTAATTCTAAAATGTTAGACACTGTGGAAGCAGTACTTATGCACATGTTCTTCAGTGATAATTCGGAAATGATAAGGATTCCTCTGAGACTGCTATACACAGCCTTAGCACCAACACCCATACACCTACACACACACACACACACACACACACACACACATCACTGCATTGAACTGCACTGAATGATTTAATGCTCTGAATTATAGGACAGAGGCCAGGGAACCAGCTATTAACTGTCTGCTTTGCTACAGATATGCATATATTCCCTACTATATAATCTTACTACAGTATATACGCTACTATAAGGGCACTAGGACGAAACATCTGTCTTTGGGATTAAGAAAAAATAAGGCTAACCCTTAGTAGATTTTATTCATTCATTCCTGTTAAGTAACCTCTTTATCCCGTGAATCCAGAGCCAATACCAGGAACATTGGCCATGAGACAGACACACACATTGGATGAGAAGCCAGTCCATTGCAGGGCACCAATCCACCTACCAGCATATTTTGGGGATTAGAACATGCGATAAACACACACACAGTAACCCGAGGTCATGATTGCGCCAGGAGCTGTGAGGCAGCAGCTCTACCCGCTGTGCCACTATGCCACCCCTTGGTGGATTTTAGTTTATGGATAACTCCTTTGGTTTATGAAGGACCAGATGTAATATCATGAATGTGAGAGATTGATCAAATGTTCATCTATTCTCCATACAAACAAAAGGTAGATAAAGCTACAGTAGTATCAAGCAGCACTGAGTAGCACTCCTGGGAAAAATAAGAGAAATACCAGTTTCTGTTCATGGCTGACCGTGGTTGCCAGTCTGAGATGGTGAAGAGAGATGGGTGACTGAGTTTGCATTGCAATAAGAAGGAGAGAGAGAGAGAGAGAGAGAGAGAGATACCCTGGCGGTGTGATGAAGAGTAGGCTGAAGTGCTGGAAGGCATGGCGTTTATCATGCAGGTTTAGCATGCACATGTGGAAATGAACGACTCTGTTATCTGCATAGGCTGGCTGAGCTTAGTTTTGTGTAAAGTCATTTATTGTGTGTAAGTGGCAGGCTGACAGGAGCTGCAAGTCAGTGATATATCGACTCCTGTCTTTCACCTGAACAGCTCTGGGCCAATGTTCAGCGCATTCCCAAACCTCTCCACGGCATCTCTGTGTTTTCTTACATAGTGAAAAGTCACCCTTTTAGTGTTTATGGTTATATATTTCCACCAACTTTATTTCAGGTATGAAGATGAATGTGCACAATCTATTTAGTTCTATGTAGAAATGTGATGACTGACAGTCGCTTTAGATACAGAAACAAGAAATTTGAGTCAATTAACATTTTGTGAAAAGTCATGGCACCACCATGCTTAACATGCTTAACATGTGTAAATGTGTGTGTGGCAGATCAGGCCAAAGTAGAGACATGTTGGGGCTTTTCGTTCCCAATTTACTATACTGAGCTGTTTTGTTGTTTGTTTGTTTCAAAAGAAAAGAGAAAGAGTGAAAAAAAAACAGATAATTGTCACAATTATTACACACACACACACATTAATGTACCATGTCTCTTGTGCATCTTTCATTGGTGTGAAGACCTCAAACTGGAAATCCTTTATTTATGGTTTTACTGAGTTCACATGTTCCAGACCAAAACTCTACTTCTTTTCCTTTTCTACCTCAGTTAGAAGCGACCGTGATGTCTGTTGAAAATGGCTTTAAATGTTATAAAACATCCTCAGGCATTCATTAGCTCAGTGGTTTTAATTTACCAGGACCAATACACAGCATAATGTGGTTTAGGCTTATAAATTCTGGTAAAAGAAAGTCTTTGGATGAAATCATTGGAAATTGCCTTCCAACAGGGTAAAATAATCAGACATTTACTGTGGATATTTTCTTTTATAAGTCATGCAGTGACATTAGCATGTCAGTGAGCAAAACTTGTCTTTCATAATTAATTTATTCAATAAATAAATAAATAAATAAAATTGCATTCATATTTATAAATTTCAGTTGGACCAAAGTTGGGAAAGCTGGATAAACTTAAAATTAATAATGATTTAATGAGTTCATTTAATCTCCAAAATAATGAATCATTATTTATTTATGATGCCACATAATGTTTCAGCAATATAAATTTTGTTAAACAGTAATTAAAGCTTAACTAAAGGGATTTTGTGTGTGTGTGTGTGTGTGTGTATTTCTTTATTATTTAAAGTTTTAAGTAACTGAAAAATAGATGCTGTTTGTGACAAGGCCACAGTCACAGCCTTACTGCTACACATACACATACTACTAAACAAAAATGAGTAAGACAGTTGTGTGTCATTACTGTACCATTTAATAATTGTTCAACTTGGCAGAAGTTCAGCAGTTCCACTGAGGTGATTCGGTTTCTGCCCAACGCCATATTCAGACACCTACACAAATATTAACCAGTAGCACAACAGACACATTATTCCCACATGTAATTAGTCGATGTATTAATTTATTGTAAATGATTGCTTTCTAAACAGGCTTAATTATATACTTACACTTAATTATATTTGGATTGTTTTAGACTCACAGATGGAAAAACATTTATTTTGGGATCTGAGAGTCCATTGGGGGAGCAGTCTCGGCAGGGCCCACAGTCGTCTGCTAGGAATTTGCTGCATTAGCTTGCTCGCTAAATGTGAGATGAACCATGCTGTCAATCAGCCTCAGGGCAATGAGAGAGAGGTGAAGCTGTCAATCATCACGGAGCAGGCTTCACTACTCCAGTTTACGTCTTCGCTGCCGTCATACTCCTCCCTCTGACGAGCATGCCATCTTACAATAGAGCTGCCACACCGGCTGGAAAAGAAGTGGACCTCTTGACTACTTTAAAGGTTTTCTTTGTTTATATAATTTATATAATTTCTCTTTTTGGCTCTTATCTTATTTTTAATATCATAACGCCAGTTATTCACACCGTGATTATTACGTGATCACACTATTATTAACTAAAGTTGCTTTTTTTTAGTATTGCTTATTAACAACTTATACTGTAAGCAACAGTAAGGCAATATAATAGTAATAGTAATATAATTATCATGATGTAGCACATGTTTAAATGCAAGAGTGATGTATAGTACAGATTTTTAATGAAAAAAATAAACATATATCAAATATTCCACTGCTTGAAAACATTCAAATTTCACCCCAAAGG